GAAAGAGTGGACAATAAAAATCCATTTTTGTTCATTGCGGGGCAGGGCAGAAGAGACTAGGGAAGGCTTGTTCACACTACTGCCACATCTGAATCAAAAGTACCATTAAAGTGTCAGCGTATAGCTCAGTCTACCAACTGGGTGATGTCAATTAGTGTCATTATGTTACTTTGGTGAGCCAGTGGAGAGGTGTCCACATCAATTTGGTTTTAAACAACTTTCACACAGCTGCTAGCAACAAACTGGGTTTGAAATAACAATTCAAATGGCAAAATGCTTCAAAGTCACTGGAATGCTTCAAAACGCTTGGAAGCCATTGTGGTGGAATGGGGGAGGGAGGGGAATGTGCCTACTGCAGAGGCCAGAGTCACCCCGGGGCAGCTCTCCATGTTGTAACAAGCTAAAAGTCTCACGCTTCTCATTTATTTTATCCAATGGGAGATAAAAAGATTTTTTTGTTTAGGAAAACTTCAGCAAATTTTAAAAATTGCAAATAAACTGGTATGCTATATTGGTCTAAATAGGAAGCTGTAATAAAGTAATATGTTTAAGGTTGGTGTGCATATTTAAAAGCTTTCAGGATGCTCATGAAACATTGGTCACGTACATATTTCGACAGACATTACTTGGGTAGTTTATCATGGAAAGTTGTATTTTATTCATTCCAGTGGCCCCCAGTTCATCACCCTAATTGAAAATATATCATTTACATATTACTTATGAATAAAGCCTCCAGAGAATGCATGTCTGCAACATGAGGGAAAGAGGGAGTTTCTGTGTAAGATACAGACTTTAAAAAGTAGAGTTTTGACCATTAACTGCCTACCCTTTAAGTCCTCAGTACATTAACTATGGATCTGAGGCAGTGATAACTCAAAAAGTGTCTGCTGTGGCATTCTAGGTACAATATAAATACTATAGGCACAAAGTCATGCATATTATTCACTGAAAAGAAGAAATGCACATAACACAACATATTACATAACTGCAGCAAAAGTCAAAATAAACAGTTCATAATCTAGAACTGTACACAAAATGCTCAGTTGAAAATCCAAAATATTAGAAAAGCACAATAAATCTAAACCCCTGACAACATTTCTTCTACTTCATTTAATACAAACTATTCCTTCAAAAATACTAACAGAAGCAAACACCCCAGCTGAGAACTTATATTCCATTTGTCAGCTTCATGTGAATGATTTTGGCCACACTAAGACCCCTGAAAATAGGGGATAGAAAGAAAAATATAATCTTACCCACAATAAAGCTGCCTTACGTATTCTGTAGGAGATTCATCCCACTGTTGTTCTGCACCCAGCACTTGCAAGGTATGCAATGCTCTGGCAGACCATGGTCCTGAATCAGTAAAGCTCAGGAATATCTCAAATGAAAAATACACTGCTTTAGCTGAAGACAAAAGACACCTGACAATCATAACAATTATTATTCCGTTTTATATGTGGGGAAATATTTCCAATGAAAGGAAAGGAATCACATAAACTTAATTTGCTAAAACAGTAATCCTGTCAAATTATGAGTAAATTGGAACGCTTCTTACCCCAAAAGTTCGCAAGCACAGAATACATAAAATGAAAACCACTTCAATACTCTGCTTAATGGGGCAAGCCTTCTGTACAGAAGTGTATATAAAAAGATTGTTTAAATGATTTGGGGTTAGCTCCCAGAATGCACTTTGCGGATGTTCCAAGTGCCTAGCACACTTACCTCTTGACAGTTACCAAATGTACTCAGTTACTGACCTAGATATTACAGATTAAAGCAAAAGGCAGGGCAAATTCAACAGCTTCATTGGAAATGCCTAACTGATCTGAACTCTAATAATAGGAGTTATTTAAAATTAAATAAGCAATTAATAACCCTTTCTACTACAACAACTCACCTTTTGAATGTAGGACCACCTTGTAAGCAACACTCCAGAAGAAAAGCTATTATAGAAGCACATTCAATCTTAGATCTATCTTTTTTTAGGACCACTAATCACATTACAGATGTCTAACTATTTTATTTACTGGAGAGCTTACCAGACAAGTGATCTGGTAGCATAAAGACTGGGTGCGCTGACTGAGTGGTTGAAGAGTTCTGATTGTATTTGTCGCGGTAAACAAAATGCATGATAGCGCTTCTAAGACACAGGAACGACATGTCGGTTTAACAATACTCTGTGCTAAATCACATCTCAAATCAGTGCTGGTGTCCCCCTTCGTAAGGGATTCATACTCTAACCATTCACCTTGAGGCAAGGCACTGAAACTGTAGGGTTTGGAGGAATATAAAGGCAAGATAGTTAATCATTGACTATATCAAGTCTGGAGGAAGATCATAAACTAATTTAGGAAATATATTACTACTCTAAGGCCCTTTTTCCTCAGCAATATACTTGGGGCTGCCACTTGATTTAGGTTCCAGAAATAGATGAAGGTACTGATATTCCTAAAGCAACCCAGAAAGGGATACCTACTCATCAGCTTAGAGGCAAGCTCTGTTCCCAGAACAGTCATGAATAGAACACAGCAGGTAAAACAAAAGCCACTAATAGAATACGATCCTATTTATCAATTTAAAATAGAGTGAAGTCTCTCCCCTTTATCCCCCACCCAAATTGCACAGAAACTAGAGATGTAAGAATCAAAGAATGTTGTTCCACATTCCATACTAGACTTGTCACTGAGGTCACCTTAAAGGGGGAAAAAAACCCATAAAATAGCAAAGACATTTGATAAACAATTTAATGTAATTACTAAGACAGCTCTTCATAACTGGTTAAACTACTACTCCATGCAAACCAAAATTCTGCTGTTTACACATGTAAAACCAAAGTAATTATTGAAGAAGTCAACAGAGTGGATATGGACTCACACCAGTGGAACAGAATGGAGTTTGGTGGTTTTGTTCTGGTCTGTGAAAGAGACCTTTCGGAGAAAGAGATGGGGTATGGGATAAGGAGAAGGGGGTAAGGTGGCCTTTAGGAATACACAAGACAACTTAAGCTAGAGAAACTTTATCAAAAATTTGTAAAACTGTATCTATGGTAGTGTCATTATGAACATGACATTCTGGGATGTGGTTTCAATTACCAAGTTTTGCTCACAATTTCTAGCATGTATGCTGTGATGAAAGGTCATTATGAAGTCTACTGGACTACATGGCTAAAGTTCATGCATTAGTATTTCTAGTTAAATATACCTGAAAACCAATTCAGATGCATTTTACTCATTCTGAAGCCATTTCACTTTTATTTTTGGTTAGGATATCAAAACACTCTGAGTCTTTCTGAAAAATCAAAAATAAAATATTCCTTCCCAGCGCCACTTGAAGGTAAATAAAAAGCTGCAGCTGTTCATTCAGTCCATCTCTGATATACCATCACCACAAACTTGATACACTGTGGGACTGGGTTTTGACATTTCTACATTCTACAGAATATGTTTCACATACAGTATCGCTACACAGCACAGTACACCCCTGCGTAACAATACCTGAGCTAGCTGTAAATGAGCTGTAGCTTGCTTCCCAGGAGTAGAATAACTACAATAGTGTTGTGCTCTGTCCAAGCTAATTAGCCCTGCTGAGAAACAGACTGGATTAGGGAGAGTTAGCCCAGGTATCTTAGTGCCATGGAGAGACACCCTTAATGCCATTCAGATAGTAGTAGAGCTGTCTGCATTAATGTCTGATAACCCTAATTTGCTTATGTGCATCTCTGGCAGAGATGGTCATCAGTAACACTGACATACAACATAGGCATTGCAAGGCACATGTTAAAATGCAATAAAAAAAAATCTACCATATCATGTTTGGCCTTCTTAGTACATTCAGAAATATTTAAGAGATCAAAAAATAAAAGTTGGTTAGAAAGAAGCCTGCACTCTATAACGTGTAACAGAACTGGCCCTTCCAGGATGCTGTATATGATAAGTCTGCATCATGTTGAAGCATATCATAGCTATTCAGAAGGGTTACATCATTACTCTTCTACTTAAACAGCAGAAAACTTGTTTGAGCCTTTCTGAACATTTTGCTACAAACTGTAGCAAGGATTTCTGTTTTACTTCTTCCACATGTTTCTTGAATCCTTCCGCACTGTCCATGTCAATATTGTATTTGTACATGTTCAGATACATATCTAGGAAAAGCCTATTTATTCAGCCATGTGCTTATTTCCAGATCTGACCTACAGCACAGGTTTATCACCAAACACCAAGTAGAACTTCAAACATAAAAAACAAGCAAGCAAGCACACAGACAGACCATGCCACCCAGCAATCTGCAGAGTTCATTTCACAGCAAGGTTTTTGTTCATTATTTAAAAGTTTCCATCTCTGAAGACTCCCAATCAATATCTCTGTCTCAGAGCATACGTGGATGCATTTAAAACACTAGAGTTGCTCTTTTATGAATACTTATATGATTATTATTATTTCAATTGTTGACAGATATAACAGAGTCCAAACAAATAAAGTTCATAGACAATGCAACAGAAAAATAAGCAAAAGCCCTAGGATCAAACTATATTAACAGAATGAGCGACTAGTAACATTTACACAAAAGAGTATTGTTATTTCCACCCAAAAGAATTTTCTTTTTCTATTTTAAATGCAATAAATAAAAGTATAATTGTAGAGAGATATCTTAAATTCAAAGGAAAGTGAGACTATAGCTTTTTGTGGCATAAATGTGCAAAAATAGGAATTCACTGGTGAGATGCATGTGACCTTGACAGCATACATTTCCAAACTGATGTATTTGTCCTGTAACTTAAGTTCCAAGAAATAAGTAAAAATACCAAAACAAACTGCTTTAGAAGGGAAAGTTAAATTTCAGTCTTCTATTAAAGATGATTTTTTTTCATTTAAAGTTTCTTATGCAAGTTTTCTCCTGATTCATAGCCTGAGAATATTTACCTACTTTCAGGGATAACCACCCCAGTCCTAGGGGAAGTAAAGCATAAGTCACCAGAAATTGCTGCTCTGAAAACTTCTATAAGTGCCTCTACATGGATTAATTAATTAGGGGTGGTTGTTACATATGATGAAGGCATTTTCATTGACATTTGTTAGAATTTAAATGTTAGATGAGCTTTTTAAATATTAAAGTTTGCTAAGTCTTTTTTTTAAATGCCACAGACACGGAAATGCTCACTTCTTCAGACTGGTTACCTTCTTCAGAACCCAAACTCTTTCCACCTGACTACAGCTTTGATCTGAATCAGTGTTTTTTCTGTGTGACAGTTCATAGCACACTTGCATTCAAGGAATTGTTAACATCTAAAACATTAATTTCAACTCTCTAGAAGAGTTATAGGCGCTATATATGAATGGTGGAGTCATCATTTCTAATGGTTGAGTTGGAAGGTTAAATGTACATATAAATAGAGGTTGTCAGAGAACCAACTTTGTAACATAAGGCTTTCACTCACTATCAGAGGTTCTTTGCTCTGGCTTAACTGTTGATAAATATTTAGGGAAGAAAATGGCAGAAACAGTGGTAGAGAGAAAGCTTTTCCTTGGCTTGACATGTATAGGATTGCAGCAAATATGCTAACACTGCCCATCAGCTTGACACTGAAAACGTTTCTGAGCTGCTGATATTCTGCACAGTGCCCTGAAGTGCCAAGATCTAACAACTCAAGGACAGTTAAGGCACTTGCTTGAATTCTTTTGCCCAGAGAGTTTTGTCACATGAATTCATGGGAGAACAGAATTTGAGAAGAACAAAACTTTACAATTTTTCCTCACAAGCATGAGCTTTGGGATACAATATTCTTTACATAAACAATAATCCCTCCGCGGTTCTTTTCAAAGTATGTCTCGTCTTCTTTGAGTCAGACCACAATGTGCAAGATGAGAGAAAAAGCATACATGCAATATTCAAAGGAAGACTGAGAAAAACTGTCCCATTACTGCTTCTTCCTGAAAAAATCTCTTTGCTGAGGAGACTCCCAATCCAATGGCATGGTTAGAAGTCAGTGACATCTTATGCTTGTATTGTTGTAAAAGAAAAACCATAGGATTTCTCTGTGTGCTATACAGACAAAAGAGGAGGAGGAAAAGGACGAGCTGTACAAGGATAAATTCTGGATTCATCTCACTAGTTAAAATGGAAGCACAAAATTATATGAAATATGGATTCATCCAAGTACAGTATACCCTGAATGCCAGGCATTGTATGTGCTAGTCCTTATAATCCATTAGATAAAGTTGGAAGCCACATTACTGTGTGACAGAGGTAGGCTTAGAACAGAGTTATTTACTGAAGAATCCTTCTGTGCCAGATTTGTCAAGATGGTAACAGCACTCTCCAGTCAAGTAAGCCTGATGGAATAAAAGCTTATTTTCCTAGAATATTGTGCATATTTTAGAGGAGGAAAAATAGTTATAAAGGCAGTAACTGAATTATTTTTAAGAATTTTACCATCTGGGGTGCAGTGAGCATGGGTAAAATATTCACCCAGACTCTGCGGTATCTAATATTGTAGAGAAATTGTTATTATGATGCTCTGTCATCTTTTCCTTCTCATATGTTAGCTTTACATTCAGTCTTCTATATGCTACTGCATTCACTTACTGCAATCTCTTAAATATGAAAGCTTCAGGATGTCTGGTGAAAAGGCAGTTCTTTAAAGTCCAGACTTACTAGGCTACATGATTATTTTGGATACTTTAGGAACTTGGGATATTCCAAGCACTGTGGTAGTCATTTCTTACTTCTAGCTGTTATCCAAGCTTTACTGGCTGAAGCAGTTTGAGACAAGCTTTGATTGTGTCACTGAAGTTAGAGAGATGTGAATGTTGCCAGTTTTCAATGAAACTGGGATTAGCATTTCAGTCAGGTTTCCATCTGGTAGCTAGAGTTGGCTCCACTCTGCAAATCTCTTGAATTACCAGGGTTTCAGGTTTCAAAGTATTTGTAAATTGCTGTAACATACATCATGACATTCTGCCAGTCAGGACGCTCAGTTCGCACCATTTCATTGATGTCCTGTCACAGAAAAAAGATATGCCAACATTAAATATTTCCACCTTGCAAATTCCTGCTACTGTTCTGCTCATCCAGGCATAAAACTCCCACAATGAAAAAGTCTAAAGGAATGAGCTTTCAATTTTATTCAGTGCTTTATTTGCAAAGACTGGATGGTAAAAGACATTTCACAACTTAAGATTTCTTGGGCCATCTGCCGATGGTTATCATGTTACAGAAAAGCAACATTAATTATGACAGGAAGTATAAGAGTCCAGCATCAGAACCGATCTCAGCTTTTTTCTCATTTAGCATTACTACTCCCAGTCAAAACTATTGTTTACAAACAAGAACTGATAGAACATAAGTTGGCTTGTGTATCTACACATGCGTTCATTATCATCAGTTGGAGGGTAACGGCCTTGAATAGCAACAAATTTAACTGTACAAAGGATGGAAAATAACTAACTCTGACATTTGGTCTTTATACTTTTCTTGTCAAATGTCACTTTGCAGTACATTAATGAGCTCAATGTGGATTTTGAACTAGAAAAAAAGTTGGCAATTTATTACCAAATCAAATATACCCAGGAGGGAATATAAAACACGAGCAGTCAGTTCCTGCATAAAAAGTTATGAACTGATCTAATAACTATTCCACATAGATTTGAAAAAATGATTAAGTAGTAAATAGAAGGAATGTTTCTTGATCCACAAGTAAAATAGACAACCTAACAGACGAAAGAAAAAAGGATTAATAGTTTTTAAACCCTTCCTACCATTTCTCAAGTTAATTTCTTAAACCTCACCCATAATCCTCAGGAGAGTTTAAACAGAACCAGTTGATTTGTTGGAAAATGAGCTGTGAATAAACACCTTCGTTAACAGGCAGAAATGAAATAACTCCCTCTAATATTACTATTGTTAATCTTTATATATGCAATGACTGTTTTCCCACAAAAAAGCATGGGCACACACCACAATGTGCTGCACATACTGGTAAACAATTAATCCTATAAAAAGCAGGTTATATTTCCATACAGGTGATTTAATTAATCTGATTTTATAAATGTGTCTGTAGGTATAGACATTACACTTTAAGACTATTCTTAGTTTAACAAATTCTATGCATTCTGCATAATCCTAGTTCTAGAACCCTCGGGCCCTGTAACATTACAAGACAGAAAAGAGAGATTTTTTACCGCAGCTAATTCTATATAAGCATTACTGCAGTTACTCTAATAGTTTAGGTCTTACATCAGCATTTGGTAAGAAACTTCGTGTTTCAAAGATCACTATCTTATATGATGTGACTCAGTCATTTCCATTGTGAACAAATACAATGGCTTCAGAGAAGCTTTGATAAGGATCACGGGAAGCGTTATTTTTACGTGTTGAACTATTCTGCATTATCAGCTGCCAGGTCTATGGAGCTTTGCTAGAATTCAATTTACATAAGTCACAATGAATTATCAAGTAAATTCCAATTCTAACACTGGCATTCTAACTGGATTGCTGGAGTCATTCATTCAGGCCTGGGTTTCTTAGTCCCATGTTTTCAAATAAAAGTTTTCCTTTTTCTGATAAATGCTTTTATAATGACAATTAATAATTCTTTCCAGAACTGCCTGTAAATTTCTTCTGGTAGAGAGTCCAAAGGCTCTTAGTTGTTAACTATTAAGAGAAACAACGTTAAATTAAGAGGTAAAATCTTAATTTGCTTTTCTTCAATATGGACTTTGTTTCAAATTTTCTTTTGTGTTTCCTGTGGTGGATTATGAGGATAAAGATGGCCTTAATACCAACAATATGTTGGACCAACAAATTGGTCCAGCAACTGATGTTTCACATAAATTATAACCTTCACATTGCACTGAGAAGCAGATGAGTCTTCATGGGTCTGACCTGAACTTTTAAGAAATCCAACACATTTGAAATGTAAAGTCAAATCTAGAATGTAGTTTGTTCTTATTCAAGGTACTAGCACAGATTCACAGTACGCTGAGTAAGAAATGTTTGGTATCTGCAGACCTTCTACATCTAACAGGCAGAATACCTGCAAGAGATTAACCTGTGCCCTTCTTTAGCGTCACTGTATTGCTTTGAATAGAAATATTTTCTTTCTATGCAGTAGTTGGTCACACACCTGTTTTGTCAAGAAGAAAGCAAGAAATGACCAAAAACCCAGAAGACACCAGTAATGCCCATATAACCTTTCATATATGATTACAACTGTCATTTCAGCCTAGGGACTGTCTTCACTATTGTATCTTGGGTCTAAAACATGAGAATCTTTGTGTTACATAGCTTCCAAATGTAAAGTTTAAAGATATTTTATGAACAACACATGATCTGCTTAGTGTGCACTTAACACTTACCAGAGTGGACTTGATGCCAACACTTTCAGCAGCTTGAAAAGCCAGAGTGAAATTCCGCCTCTGTAAATGTGATATAAAATATGTTAGTCAAGAATAAAAACAAAACTTTTGAAAATTTAGCAGGCTTCTTGCTTGAAAACATTTCTAATAAAATCCTTAATTAACTTTAGTTAAAGCATAATATTATATACCATTCAGACTTGTGCCATAGGAGTCATTCTGTATCACAGACACAGGAGTCTTTAGGAAATATTTACCACCCTCCTGACTCAAGGATAAAGAATTCTGAAGATGACAGCTAAATCAAGTGATAACTGAAAATTTTGTCATGTATCAAATGGGGAAAACCCCAGAGATAAAAAGAGGTTTTTCCTAGTTTTGGAGGGGGATGATTTTATTTCAGGATGGGTAAGAAAGAAGCAATTACAAGGCATAATGCTTTTTTCTCTTTATCTGACAACATTAAGTAAAAGACAATGCTAAGCAGAGTTCAGGAAATTCCATATTTATAAGGTTCTAAATTTCAAAATTTCATAAGCTGCATACTTCAATATTACACACACACTTATGTTGTTTGATAAAAGTGTGGGACAAAATGAATTGGCAGTAAGGGGTTCTGTTGATTAACTAACAGTCAGTTTTACAGAGGGTGGAATTAGCATTCAGGAAGAAAGTATGCAATTATTCATCTTTCCTAGGTATTCCCATAATATTCCCTCCATTTAGTAAAATATTATGTAAAGCTGATTTTCAAGCCAGGGTTTAAAATTAAACTTTACTGGAGATATTCACTTTGTTTTTGTCAGCCTTAGCATTATACAAAAAAAAAGATAACATTTTTAATAATCAACAAGAGACAAACAATTCAATTTAATTTCAAGTAAAAATATGTTTTTCAGAATAATAAGAGGTCAAAAAAGCTGCAGCACTAAATCTTGGATGAAAGAGGGAATTGTAAGAGAATATCCTCCACAGACCAAAAAGCGATATATGATAAAAGTTATTATGAAATAATAAAATCATTTAAATATACCCAATGGTGAGAAAATAAGAACTCAGGGACTTATTCAAAAGGTGACAATTATTTCTTCACAAAAATGGAAAAAGTATAAAAGTGATCTCTTGGCATATATTGAGGAAAGCCATTTTGTATTTTTTTTGGATGTTTCAATGCAACTCTGGAGTATGGTCTTAATAGGTTCTAATTACAACAAGGGATTACTTGCTTCTTTAAATGATACTTAAACTTTTTTTTAAACTATTTAATTAAAGAGGAGGAAACCCCCACCCCAAAACTTTTTTTCTGAACATGACATGACCAGGGTGGGACTGGAGAATATTTGCCCAACCCAGAGGCCTAGCCTGGCTCCCCCCAGTACCCCAGCTGGGGTAACTGGTGGGGGCTGCAAGGCGGGAGGCTCTGTTCCACACCCCACTCCAGCGTACGCTGGGCATAGCAGCCCGACAGCTGCTGCTGCTTCCTTCCCTCCCTCTCCAAAGACAGCTGCAAGTGTGGAGCTCAGCTGGTGCTTGCATGGGCTAATTTCTTGCATGATCAGCCATTTTAGAAGTGCTCTGCAGCTGTGCACGTGTTAGGTCATGGCTGAAGAGCTCTTTCAGGGGCCAGATCACACAAAAAGTGTCACTACTGTCTGCATCCATAAGGAAATGTCCTGACTTACTGCCCACGCTCCCATTCCCCAACCATTTTTCCCGGCTCTTTCTTTAAAGAGCCACTTGGCGCTTCTTCCCTGTGAGAACCAGAATGCAAACAAACTTTCAACATGACATACTTAGTTGAACATAATAGCTTTGTGTTGAGAAGAGAGGAAAAGCACATACCCAAAAGCATCTCATAAGGTGTTTGAGAGCCACACTGCTTTCACTCTCGCCTGCCCTTTGCATGGGTCTGTGCAAGGGTCAGGGGAGCACCTCCTTCATCCAGCTGGTGAACTGAGTTCACTTCTTATTAGCAGCATAGCTGAAGGGGGAGGCAGGTGTGGATGACAGCCCCTGTCATCAGCTCTCTAGTTTCCCTTGCTGGCAAGTACTGGCAGAGCAAGTTTTCAGGGTGCTTTTCCCCACTCTGGATGCAGAAGGAAGTCCCATGAAGCAAGTTACTTGTTTGCTCGATAAAAATAATGTCTGCCAGAGGCCCCAGTAACCCAAATACCAGCCACCTTCCTTGTGTCAGCTCTTCCACCTCTATGAACTCTCACAGAGATGCTATGATGAATTTTTCTAAATGGTCTGTATTTTCAGCAAGTCTAAATAGGACTTTCCAATACTGTACCTTGTCCTGGCTGTTCAGCTCTTGGTAGGGAATGTGGGCTGGGAGGTAAGTATGGAGGACTGCACAGAAGGCCAAACCGTCGTTCCAGCTGCTGCTGAAGTTTGTGATGTCAATGTTCTTGAAGGGGAAAAAAGTTTATATAAGCAAAAGGTTAAATTCTAAAGCATTATTAAGTGATAAGCTACAAAGCACTCGGGAAAGTAACAATGATAAAAAAACAAATCACTCATGTTTTTTGCCCCTAGTTGAAACCACTCTGTTTCCTGCGTTTCCAAATAGCCATCTCTTCCAATTCTGGAATGGTATGAATTTAAAATCTAACACTGCTGAGTGCACGAAAGACAAGGGCAGAAGAGAGCCATTTTTTCCTGTCAGATGATTACCTATGGAGCATCTTCTGTCTTGCCATTCACTACAGATGCATGCCCATTTCTGAATGCTTATGTTCCACCAAGAAAGGAACATTTTGGGAGAGTTGAACATATTAAGATACGCCAGCAGGAACAAAATATAGTTAAATATTTCAGGTCTCTTTTAGTAGCATTGTAGGGTTTTTCTTGCAGTTGTCATGATCTGGAGAATTTGAGAAGCAAGATTTGTGAGATAAGATAATATGTTTCACTGGTCCAACTTTATAGCTGAGAGATACGATAAGCTTTCAGTGCTCTGAGGAAGGATGTTCTCTGCCCAAAATCTTGTCCAACATCACTCCAAACCATAAAGTTGGCCCAATAAAACATATGCTTCACCACATAAATCCTACTTCTGGGCTTTTTGGAATCATAAAATATTATGGTAGTTGACCTGTTTTATCAAGAAATGGGAAGACTAAATTTTTCTCTTTTTTCTACTGTATTACTAATCAGAGAAAAAGATTGATCACTGACCACAGATATTTTCTTAAGAATTTTATTTTCATTAGAGAAAGATAAATGAATGAGGAGTCAAAAGATTACATAAACTAGTTACTAATTCCTGATGAAAAATTAGTTCACTGGAACACTTCCATCACTGAACAGCTGAAGGCAAAGTTCTTTTTGAATGAGGTATAACAGTAAAATTCCACATTCTTTAGTTGGTCATCCCATATACCCTGCCCTTTACTGTTCCAGCAGGGAGCTCAGTAGCAATGTTAGATGCATCTTTTTATTCAACAAAATTGTATAAAGACTTGTTGAAAAGAGTGAATAGGGTCTGCCACAGGAAGTTATGAAAAAGATGCTTAAGTGACCGTTTTAAAATTACTATTCATTTGTTTTTGGCAGCTAAACAAGGGTAAAGAGCTTAATGCCACCCTAGTGAATGTCAGCCAGTTTAGATTTAGCTGATTAAAATCCAATTACGAACTAAAACAACCAGCCTATCCTTTAAGATCCAAAGGCACATATTCCATGCATCAGATATACTTCTCCCTTAACTGAGGTTAAGTCATGTTCTTCATATTTGTTGTTCCTCTAAGCCTGAAACAATTAGAAATCATAAAATCCAACAAACAGAAGAGTCAAACTTTTCCTCCCCACAGCCTGATGTCCATCACAGAGACTCACAAAATACTAACTGTAATAACGATTCATCTTTGGTAAATCTCAAACGGAAGAGTCCAGAGTATTAATATGCCAAATACAATAAAACTAAAAACAAACATCAAAATTATGGAATTGCGAGACTCAGGTTTCCTGTCTTATCATTGAGGGTTTAGGATCACAAATGTAAAACAATTGCAATGTTCCCTAACCCTCCCTTTCACATCAATTTCTGCAAGAGCACAAGGGGAAATCTTCATTTCCTGCTTAGCTTCAGCCTTTTTTTATACAGTCTCTACAAATACAGGTTCAAACTATAGTGATGTAAGTGTACGTGCTTAGCCTCACAATGCCTGAAGGCAATGGTCTGAGTGTTGCTGTGCAATCCAGCAGCCTGCTTGCAAACGGAAATGGCTTTGTTCGAGACCCCCAGTCTGTGGGAATACCAATTTTTTTTTTTTTTTTTTTTTTTAACACTCTGGCTCAGCTTCCC